GTCTTTTAGAGTTCTCTACGTTTTACCTAAATGAGGGCTTTTTGGAGTTTTATCCACAAAGCTTGCAATCTTATGTGCTTTTCAAACTCTTGTGGGAAGCCATTCATTTATAACGAAGAGAGTAGATGTATTGTCAGGTAAGGTACCACAGCCGCAAATCCAGTAAAACATCCATCATCCAAGGCATTCTTTGAAAACTGTGAATTACTTCAGATCTTTAAAAAAAAAATAAATTCCCACTATCCCCTGCAGTTTATATTACTGATCTATTAGACCCTAGTGAATTTTGCTGTAGCAACCGGCTTTCATAATCAGTTTGAAGGGTAATTTATTCTTAAAATATGAGTAAATGAAATTTTGTGGCTAAATTATAACCTATCATGAGAACTACTAAGTCCAATCCAAGAATAATGAGAATAGTTGTTTAAGACTTCTTCCTTTAAACGTCTATTAGATATTCTGAGTCAGAATGTATATAAATTTAGAAATTGGAGCAATTAAGAGATGATTTGAAAGTCCTGGCAGTTTACCATGAACTTGTCAAGTAGACTGCATAGCAGACTCTTAGAAGGATTGAGAAAGGCTGTGGGTTAAATTTCGTCTTACATGCTGAAGGGAATAACGTTTGAGGTGCTGTCTATCCATTTGGAATAACACATCAAAGAGTCTTATTCTGAAAGGCAGTTCCTGATCTCTTCTGAATAAAACTGTAGGGAGGGAAGAATAACTTCATAATATATATTTTATTGCAATTTTTGCATTGTCTGATAAACTGCTTGATTTATTAAATTCCTCAGTGTCTAATTAGGATAGTTCTGAACCAAAATTCTAGTTACGGCACAGCATTCCTGTCCATACAGTTTTGTTATTTAAGCACCATTTAAAAATTTTATATGAACTGTGTCATAGGAGATAGCATTCCCTTTTAATGACACATATGTTTATATTTAAAATTAAGGTAAAAATGAATTGACCCAAAATACTGAAGTATGAGTGGGGTGATAAGGAAAGTTTAAGCCATCCAAATGCATCTAGATTTTACTTTTATGGTTTTAAGGTAAGTATTTAATTCTGGGCATTATTTATGGTATATGGTGCTTGTCCAAATAATATGGTGTAATGAATTATTTCATAATATGAAGATTGGTGGGAGATAAAACGTATGTATATTAGTTTTCTAGTGCTGTTGTAACAAGTTAACACAAATTTAGTGGCTAAAAACAACACAGATTTATTATCTTACAGTTCTGGGAGTCAGAAGTTTTAAACCAAGATGTCGACAGAATTGTATCCCTTGTGGAGACTCTTTCAGGTTTTAGAGGTCACCTGTGTTCGTTGACTCATGGCCCCTACCTCCGTCTTCAAGGCCAACAGCACAGCATCTTTAGTTCTCAGTACCTCAGTATCTCTCCCTTTTTCTCCTCTTTCTCTAACTCATACCCTTCTGCTTCCCTCTTAGGAGGAGCGTTGTGGTTACGTTAGGCCCACTCTGTGTAATCCAGGATCCCCATTTTAGGATCCTTAACTTAAATACATAATAAAGTCTCTTTGGCCATGTAAGGTAACTTATTCACAGGCTCTGAGCATGAGGACAAAGTTTATGTGTTATTCTTTCTCCTGTGCCCCCACATTTCTTTTAATTCTAGCTCTGCAGATACATACTCACCGTCAGTTCTTTTACCAAAATTATCTCTTGCTGGCTGAACTCCTCCTCTAGAAGATTCCTCTGGACAAACACATGTGTACTGTATTTCCTGAATTTTTGCAAGTTCAAAACTATTTTTTCTAGACCTGATTCTTTAGAGCTATTTGACTGTAAAATTCTTGGCTTACACTTGCTTATATTGAAAATGCTGCTCCATAGTTATTTTTATTTTGTTCTTGATATCTGATACCAGCTCAGTTTTTTCACCCTTATAACTAAATTGATCTTTTTGGCCACGAGTTCTGAAGATTTTTTTCCTTTGTCTTTAAAGTCTAATAGTTTTACCAGAATAGGGTTTCATTATTGATTGTTCCAGGTCTCTTTAAGCTAGGTACATAGTAAACCCTTTTGTTAAATTCTTTGGTTGTTTTTTTCCAGAAGGTTGTTTTAGAACTATAGTTTTAAGTACTGGCTTTTGTCTATTGTTTTTCTCCTTCAGAGACTCCGATTACATGTATGTGGGATCATCCTTTGCCACTTTCTTTCTGTCTCTTTTTCTTTATCTTTTTTTCATTTTCTTGTTTTTCTTCAGTGTTTTCTTGACTTTCTTCAGTGTTCCTTACTGAATTTTCCTTTAAACCTGTTCTCTCTTTCTGAGATAGGTTTTCTTTTCTTGCATTTTATTTCCTAAGCTTTATCAACTGTTGATGCACTTCTGTGTTTTACCTGTTTCTCTTCTACAGTGTTTTAATTTCTCATTTTGCAAATTTTTTTGTTATAGGCCCCAACTACTTGTTTGAGGCTCCCTAATGAAGTTTGCAGGGTTATGTTACAGTTGTCTTTTTGATGTTTAGTTTATAGGAGAGAATCAGATAAAATGTTTTGATTTACGTTTTCTTTTTTCTTCTTAAATTAATTTTAATTTAATTAAATTAAATTAATTGTATATGAATTTGACTTTTTTTTCTTTTCTGAACTGTAGACGTTTCTTATACAGGGCCCACCTTATGTCAGTATGGCAAAGTGACATTAAATTAATTTTATATGAATTTGACTTTTTTTTCTTTTCTGAACTGTAGACGTTTCTTATACAGGGCCCACCTTATGTCAGTATGGCAAAGTGACATTTTTTTAGCGGATAATGAGAAGGAGGACTTGGTTTACATGTGTTTTCTTTTGTCTCTGTAGGGTCCTTAATTTCTCTTTCTTTCCTTTACCTACACTGTTATCCCTAAAGGGAAGTGCACAACCCCTATTTATCTAATTCTCCTCAAAGCAGTGCTTCTTGAGGCTGTCGCCTTCAAAATCACTCACTTTCAAGCCCTTCCTTCTCTGTAGTGCTGTGAATTACCAAGTCTGAGACTTGTGTTCAACACTTTGACCTTTTGTAGTACTTTTTGCTTTCTTGTGGAGCTTTTTGTCTGTCATCAATGCATGTCCTTCACTCCACTATCTTCTTTTCCTCCTAGTATCTTAGTCTTTCATTCTCTGGCTCTGTAAATTCATAAGCTTATAGCAGCAGTGAGAGCTGTTGACTTTGGTGTTAGTTTCTCTGCTTATAGGTATTTATCTACTAATAATGCTGAGGGCACGGTTCATGTTTGGTTTTATTTGTACTCCTTGTTGAATTTATTGTTTTGGAGGGAATATGTGGGTGGGTTGAGATTTAGGTAGTATCATTACCATCTGCACTTACTTAAGTTCATTTTAGCAATAAAATTTAACCAGTTCACTCTTTAGGCTGATTTTTGTCTTACAGAGTAAAGAAAGGTGCTTATAGCCAGTCATTGACAAACGTGGGGCAAGTCTTAAAATCTGGATTTTTAACTATAATTTAAATAGCTTTATTAACTTGAAACTGCTTAAGGGAGGCCATCTCCTAAATTAGCTCATCAAACTTAAAGACATTTTCAACCAAAATATATCACATAATGAATTTTTTTATATATACACACATAGACAATTTAAAAATGAGTCCATTATTTATGTACTTTTTATATGGATTTGTTTTACGTACACATTTTTCACATTTATATTAGTGTACACAAAATGAAATTGAGTTTTTACTCTCAGAAACAGTGCTTTCTGATCTTTTTGACATTGGATCATCATTATCAATATCTGATATTTTTTTCCCATTCTACTCTTCTTCCAAAACTCCAATATAGCTCTTTAATATAGAATCTGTGGTAATTTTTCAGAAGGAGTTACACAAACCAGTATGTACAAGGATAGTCATCACATTCTTATTTATAAAAAGATCAAAACTCAGAAAATGTATTAATGTCCAGTAATAAGAATTTGATTAAATAAATAAGAGCAAAAAAACAAAAAATAGACATTTGCCCTGTTATTAAATAAAGCTAGTTTACAAAATACTATGGTCCTGTTTTTGTTTAAAGTATAATTTAAATATCATTTTCACTTAATGTTTGCAGTTTTGTCACATCACATATCCACCTTACTGTCACTCAGTGTTGTTTTAAAATCAACTGATTTTTCTATTTAGCTTTCTTCTAGACAATAATAAAAAAAAAAGTTCATTTTTTTATGCATATTAGAATAACTTGATAACTTATTAATGTAGAAAAATTGCATTTTCATATGATCTAAAGTCATCCTTCATTCCCTTAGTGGAATGCATATCAAACTTAAATTCTTTTAAAGAAACTTGTAGAAGGGTGTATAATAAAATTATAACCATGTAAACATTACTGGTAATTTTACTTATTTTTCTTTCTGTTTTTCTGTGTTTTTTAATTTTCTAAAATGTGGATTAATTCCTTCCATAATAGAAAAGTGTTTTGTGGGTTAGATTTTTTGTTTTTTTTTCTGGCACGTGGGCCTCTCAGCCTTGTGGCCTCTCCTGGTGCGGAGCAGAGGCTCCGGACGCGCAGGCTCAGCGGCCATGGCTCACGGGCCCAGCCGCTCCACGGCATGTGGGATCTTCCCGGACCGGGGCACGAACCCGTGTCCTCTGCATCGGCAGGCAGACTCTCAACCACCGCGCCACCAGGGAAGCCCAGATTTGCCGTGGAGAAGCTGGGCCCATGAGCCATGGCCGCTGAGCCTGCGCGTCCGAAGCCTCTGCTCCGCACCGGGAGAGGCCACAATGCTGAGAGGCCCGCGTACCGAAAAAAATAAAAATAAAAAAATAAGTGTTTCTCTGTAAATCTCTGCATTTCTTTATAAATTGATAGAATTGCCAATGTCCTGAAATGTCATTAAAATAAGTAGTAGTTTCTTTAAATAATGGATTTCTTAAAAGCACAACATGGGAAGGAATTTCTCATATAATAATGACAGTTTAAAATAAGGCTCATAACTAAAATTAGTTTGTTTTATTCTTTTACAGGAGTTGAAACCTGATATAGTAACTAAATCTGCTCTTGGTGATGATATCAACTTTGAAAAAACCTGCAAAAAGGTACTTCTGCCAGGGGTTGTATTTCTTTTAGGAAAAGTTCCTTATTTGTATTGTTGACCTACTTTTTTCCTTTCACTTTTTTCCTTGAAGAGAAAACTTAGCAAAAGCCAGTTACTAAAAAATCAGTCAGTCAGTCAGTCAGTCACCTGGTGTGATTATTTTTTTAAAAAGCCAGGTACTATTAGTGTACAATGATTTTTCCCCATTTGAGCTCTACTACTGCCACCAAAAATTATTTTTATGGTAATTTATGAATTTTGCTTTGCTGTGATACCACACCCTCAAGGACCTTAAAGGTATGTTGAAGTTAATGTGGCATTTGTGTGTTAGATAGCAGTTAGTCTGTTAATCTTACAAATTAGAATAAAGACTCTTTATTTTCTTTCTGAATAGTTTTTATGAATATTTTATTTAATCCCTGCATTTACCCTATGAAAATTATTTTTACCCCCTTTTTGTAAGTAAGGAAACTGAAGCTCAGAAAGAATAAAGTGAGCTAATTAAGGGTATGCCACTCTTAGGTGCACAGTTAGGACTTTTACCCAGATCTTCTGCTCCTTGCATTTGCGTCACTTGCTTCATCCTTAGTATTTCCTCTTTTTTATTTCTACCCACTTTGCTAAAGGCTATGTGACAGTTCCACCAGAGAACAGATTTTTGGATTAATTAATTTTTATAACTCTATTACATTTCTTTTTTCACTTTTATTCACATTTGCTCTAATCTGTATTATTTCTTCCTCTTGAATTTGTGCTTACTTTGCTCTTTCTCTAGTTTAACGTGGAAGCTTAAATTACTGATTTAGACCTTTCTTTTTTCCTAATATAAGCATTTAATGCTATAAATATCCCTCTAAGCACTGCTTTAGCTACATCTTATAAATATGATATGTTATATTTTATTTTCTTTGAGTTTAAAATGTTTTAAATTTCCCTTGAAATTTCACCTTTAACCTATGGTTTAAATTAGAAGTACGTTATTTAATTTCTGAACAATTGGGTGTTTCCAGGTATCTTTTCATTAGTTTTCTTTATGATCCATATGCATACTCTTTATGATTTTTATTCTTTTAACTTTATTATTTGTGTTATTTGTCTAGAGTATGGCTTATCTTGGTGAATATTTCATGTGCACCTGAAAACAATATTATTATTTTGGGATCAGTGTCCTATAAATGTTATTTAGGTCCAACTGATTGATGGTGTTGTTCAGGTGATTTACATCTTTACTGACTTTTTACTTACTTGTTTTATTGTTGACTAAGAGACGTGTGTTGGAATCTCCAACTGTAAGTGTCAATTTTCCTATTCCAGCCTTAAGGAAAAAAATACTCTGATTCTACATTTATGTACACTAGCACTCACCTCTCTGCAATTCACCGATTTTAGCCATGTTAAATTTTAAAGCATTTTATTGTAAGAAGGCCAGAACATGAAAGTTTTTGTATGTTTGAGGGGAGGGAAGATTTGTTGTCACAGTCCTTGTCAGGAAGGCAACACCAAAGTCGTGAGCATAATTTTACAAACAGCTTCCTTATTTTATACTAACATGATTTTACAGTAAATATTCTTATTTTATAGCATTCATTCATAGAGAGGAAAAAATTTTAGTTCTGTTATAGTTTTTAACTTGTGTCTTGGTCTATATATATTTCTGACAAAATAATGATGTTAAATAGAATAGTGGTAGTTGTATAAAAATATGGTAGAACATACTTGTTTTCTCTTGAGAATTTAAAAAAATAATAATTTAAGGCTTTTACCAGAAAAAATTTTTTGAATTTTCTGGTTGCTGCATTCTAAAAGTATTTCAATAATATTTAATTTGTGATGAGAATAAAAAGCAATTTATTTTTAGTTGGCTAATACTATGTTTCCATTTAAATTTCAACACTAAAACTTGACAATATTATTTAATTTTAACTTGAAATATCCAAAATAAAATATCCTTTGTCTTTTTTTTTTTTTAACTTTTCAGTCAGATTTTTTTCACTTTGGAAGGTTACTATTAGTTGATGTATGTGTAATATTTGTAGCATCAGGTTTTTTTAGGGTATCTTCTTTCATTTACAACCCTTTGTTAAACCTTCCATTGTGTAAAATGTCATCCTAAAAATGGGGAAATGTGTCTATAATCGCTTATCCATTTTTATTTTGTAATAGTAAATTCATTTGCATATTACTATATTTGTAGTCATGAGATTTATAATATTCACATAGAAAGTTTAGGATCTAACTGAAATATTGTCAAGCAAAACCTGATTGCATTTCTGCCCTTTTGGTATCTTCCTCCAAACAGAAGGAAGGAAAGGGAGGTGGAGAAGGAGAAAAGGAAAACAGTTCTGTTTCAAGTTCTCGATGGAGCCCTTGAGGATTTAGAGCCAAGGGAAATTGCCTTGCTTAAAATGATTTCAGATTCCTCCCAAGCTATTTGATTTCAACTATTTTGCTACTGTTTTATGTCATTTGTGGTATTCTTTGATTGGATTCATGTTCTGTATCAAAATATGTTAATAAATTAAACCTCTGGAATGAAAATGAGGCAAGTAGCAGTGTCATGGAGAGAAGACTGATTAGTTTGCCATAGGAAGGGTGGTTAGTGAAAGATGACCAAAGAGGAAATAAGGCTATTATATAGAGCTCTGTACATTTGAAGCTGTCTGACCATCAGAATAGAGCAGAACAAACTAATTTGTGTAACTTCTTAGAGCTTGCACAGTTCTTCCATATACATTATTACCTCAATTGATCTTACAACAATGATCTCCTATGGAAAACATTCATGTGTGCACTTGCATGTGTGTACATGTGTGTGTAGTAATACTAGTAGTGTCTTCATTTTCCAAATATAGAAAGGAGTTAGAAAGATTAAGTAGCCAGTTAATATTTGTATGAGAGTTTTAAAGCTAGAGAGTTTGGGGACTAGAACTGTGACATTTCCAGACAATTATTGCCAGAATTTCAAGGGCTTCTCAATTCAAAACATCTGTTATATGCAGAGCAATCAGCTAAGCACTATGGAAAAAAGGAAGGAAATAGAACACAGTTATATTAAACAGCTACAGGATGAGAGGAAGCAAATTAATATTTGTTAACATCTACCAGTTGCCTGACTTGTTAGATGCTTTATACACGTTAGCTTTCTCAGGGAAGATGATGATAATCTCATTTAACAGATGAGACAACGGGCCCAGAAAGATAAAATATACCGATGGTCATAGGTAGTCAGTAGGAAATGTCAGATCCAAGTTCTAAACCCAGGTCTCTGCCTACAAAATGAAAGTTTAGGACAAAAGGATGGAATAAGTCCCATATGTGTAAGACTGCATTTTGGAAATCATGGTGTTGTAGGGATTTTAAGAGTTCATTGAATACAGAAAAGTCTCCCATTCTCTTATAAATGTGGACTCTAAGCCATATTTTGCTTTGTTTGCCACAGTTCTTCTGATCCAGCTGAATAGACTGTTTCTTATTATATCTCTAAATGTTTTTAATAAATACAAATATGAATGTGTTGGTTTATATCATTAGGTAAAACCTGGAATTGAATTTAAGTCCAGTTAATGATAAAAGTATTCTACTAGCATTCTACCTGTACTAGTTCATTTAGCGTCAGTTTGTTTTAAGGCAACATTTCAAAAGAATGAACATGGTGTGTAAGAGAGCTTTTTCATTTTTAGACTCTTGTTTATATTTACATGTACATTCTCAAAATTCTTTTCAAAATTGAACACCAAATGCTTTGTGTTCACAGTAAATACCCATATGCCAAAATAAAATGTGTCCATTAAAAAGTGAGGTGTTTTCCTTTTTTAATTTAATTTATTTGAAATGGAAGAAACTGGAGGTGTATGAAAACCACAGTTTCCTGAGAATTTTCCAAGGCAAACACTGTGTCAACTTCAAGTAATGAAAGCTGTGGTTTCCTTCATATCCCCCAATGTTGTGAAGATTGTTTCATGCATGTGTAAAAACTATTTGTTAATAGCGATTACTTAGCCTTTTAAGCTTCAAAATAATTTTACTTAAATTTAAGAAGTATGGCTGTATTTGAATTCTTTTATAAACCTCCACATTTTCAGTCTCTCCTATGAAGTTTATGACATTCTACCTTGGGTTAGTTATTTGTGCATTTGTTGTAACCTTTTAAATTAGTGCAAGATCATGAACCTCAAAAGATGGTGTTTGTGTCCTTATGTGTAAGACTGTGCCTTCACATAATGCATATTTATGTAAATATAAATATCTGTAAATATAAAGAGGGAGAAACTAAGTGAGGAAGGAAGATGGACAGGAAAGAAGTAAGGAAGGATAAAGAATTTTTTTTACGCGGGCCTCTCACTGCTGTGGCCTCTCCCGTTGCGGAGCACAGGCTCCGGACGCGCAGGCTTAGTGGCCATGGCTCACGGGGCCCAGCCGCTCCGTGGCATGTGGGAATCTTCCTGGACCGGGGCACGAACCCGTGTCCCCTGTATCAGCAGGCGGACTCTCAACCACTGCACCACCAGGGAAGCCCAAGGATAAAGAATTTGAAGTCCCTCATGATAGGGACTGTTGTACTGACTCTTGTGAGTTCCTACACTTAAGTTCAGTGGCTTAAGCAAAATGTAGACATCTCGCATTGCAGCAGAGACCCAAAACACTGCCAAAGGTAAAAACCTGAGCCCTCTTGATTAACAAGCCTCTTTTCTTATGTTTATATTTAATTTCTTTACAAAAAGATTTGAGGGAGGCTTGGAGTTGGGTCACAAAATGAGGGAAAGTTATCTTGAATAGTTTAGAAGAAAACTTGTTGAGAATACTAGACTGAATTCAGAAAACTGACTTTGAATTCTAGCTTGTGGTCTTGAAATCAAGTCAATACTGTTAGTCTAATTGTTAGATAAAATCTTTGGTCTATATTCCCTTTACCTCTAACCTCTTGTTAAAATTTGAACTTAAAAAATTAAATGAATGATTTCTAATTGCTTTCTTAAGAATAAAATTAAAGAAAGGTTTAAAGTGTTAAATTTGACAAATTTTTATTAGAGAAACTTAAACATTTATTTAAATGATTGCTGTAATTTATAAAATTTGGTATTTTTAACTAAGACTTTTTCCAAATCAAACATTTTAAGAACTACAGGCATAGCTCAGAGATAACGGGGGCTCAATTTCAGACCACCTCAGTAAATCAAATAACTGCAATAAAGCAAGTGACAAATTTTTGGTTTCTCAGTGCGTATAAAAGTTATGTTTACACTGTACTGTAGACTATTAAGTGTGCAATAGCATTATGTATAAAAAAATATAAGTACCTTAATTTAAAAATACTTCATTGCCAAAAAGTGCTAACCATCATGAGTCTTCAGCAAGTTGTATTCTTTTTGCTGGTGGAGGGTTTTGCCTTGAAGTTGATGGCTGCTGACTGATCAGGATGGTGGTGGTTGCTGAAGTTTGGGTGGCTGTGGTGATTTCTTAAAATAAGACAACAGTGAAATGTGCTGCATTGATTGCCTCTTCCTTTCAGAAACAATTTCTCTGTAGCAGGCAGTGCTGTTTGATAGCATTTTACCCACAATAGAACTTCTTTCAAAATTGGTGTCAGTCCTCTCAAACACTGCTGCTGTTTTATCAACTAAGTTTATATCATATTCTAAGTCCTTTGTGGTCATTTCAGCAGTCTTCACAGCATCTGCACCAGGAGTAGATTCCATCTCAGGAACCACTTTCTTTGCCCATCCATAAGAAGCAATCCCCATATATTCAACTTTTATCATGCGATTGCAACAATTCAGTCACATCTTCACTTCCAATTCTAGTTCTCTTGCTGGTTTCACCACATCTGCAGTTACTTCCTTCACTGAAGTCTTGAACCTCTCAAAGTCATTCATGAGGGTTAGAATCAACCTCTTCCAAACTCCTGTTACTACTGCTATTTTGACCTTTTCCCATGAATCATGAATGTTTTTAATGGCATGTAGAATGGTGAATCCTTTCCAGAAGGTTTTCAACTTACTTTGCCTAGTTCCATAGGAGGAATCGCTAGCTATGGCAACTATAGCCTTATGAAGTGTATTTCTTAAAGAAGACTTGAAAGTTGAAACGACTCTTCGATCCATGGGGCTGCAGAATGTGTGTTGTGTTAGGAGGCATGAGAACAACATGAATCTCGTCGTACCCCTCCATCAGAGCCCTGATGACCAGGTGCATTGTCAATGAGCAGTAATATTTTGAAAGGAATCTTTTTCTCTGAGCAGTAAGTCTCAACAATGAGCTTAAAATATTCAATTCATTAAGCCCTGTAATAAACAGATGGGCTGTCTCCAGACTTTACTGTTCCATTTAGAGAGCCTGGGCAGAGTAGATTGAGCATAATTCTCAAGGGCCCTAGGATTTTCGGAGTGGTAAATGAACACTGGTTTTAGCTTCAGTCACCAGCTGCGTTGGCTTCTAACAAGAGTTGTCAGCCTGTCCTTTGAAGCCAGGCATTAACTTCTCCTTTCTAGCTATAAAAGGCATCTTCTTCCCAAAAAGGCTGTTTCTACGTTGAAAATCTGTTGTTTAGTGTAGCCACCTGCATTGTTTATCTTAGCCAGATCTTCTGGATAATATGCTACAGCTTCTACGTCAGCACTTGCTTCTTTACGTTGCACTTTGATGTTGTGGAGACAGCGTCTGTCCTTAAACCTCATGAACCAAACTCTGCTAGCTTTCCTTCTGCAGCTTCCTCACCTCTCTCAGCCTTCAAAGAGCTGAAGAGAGTTAGGGTCTTGCTCTGGATTAGGTTTTGGTTTAAGGAAATGTTGTGGCTTGGTTTAATCTTCTATCTAGACCACTAAAGCTTTCTGTGTTATCAGCAGTGAGGCTGTTTTGCTTTCTAATCATTTGTGTGTTCACTGGAGTAGCCCTTTTAGTTTCCTTCAAGAACTTTTCCTTTGCATTTACATCTTGGCTAACTGTCTGGGGCAAAAGGCCTAGCATTCAGCCTGTCTTGGCTTTCAGCATACCTTCCCCACTAAGCTTAGTCCTTTCTAGCTTTTGATTTAAAGTTAGAGACATGTGACTCTTCCATTCACTTGAATACTTACAGGCCATTGTAGGGTTATTAATTGGCCTAATTTCAATATTGTTTCGTCTCAGGGAATAGGGAGGCCCAAAGAGAGAGAGAGACAGGGGAACATCTCAGTGTTCAGTGGAGCAGTCAGAACATCAGTTGTTTGTTTTCTTATATGAGCGTGGTTTTTGGCATCCCAAACAATTACAGTAGTAACATCAAAGATCAGTGGTCACAGATTGCCATAACAAATATAATAATAATGAAAAAGTTGAAATATTGCAGGAATTACCAAAATGTGATACAGAGACACAAAGCGAGCAAATGCTGTTGGAAGAATGGTGCCAACAGACTTGATAGACACAGGGTTGCTACAAACGTTCATTTTGTAAAAAAAACATAATATCTGTGAAGTGCAATAAAACAAAGCACAATAAAACAAGGTATGCATGTACATGTATAACATCTTTTATTCGTCTTAAAGAATGAAAATTTAAACCCTGAGTATTTATAAAGCATATTACTAATGTGTATGTCATTAACAGTTTTTCCATTTGCGCTGTTTTTTCCCCATTAGAATATTTTTTCTACTCCCCAAATCATGAGCTACTCAGATTTGCAAATCAGTAACAGACCATCAAGAACAGATATGAATTAAATACAGCTAGCAAATAAATAATTAATTAATTATATCTGCAGTGACCTTGTTTCCAAGTATGATCACATTCTCAGTTTCTAGTTGGATATAAAATTCGGGGAGGATACCATGTGACCCAGGACAGAAGGTAATTTAGGCAACAAGTCATCCTGGCACAGGATTTGCACCAGGTCTAATTTAAAGGAGTTGTTCTCTGAGGGACTCTACCTAGATAAGTTCTCCAAACAATAGATTTCAAACTGTTATCATCTTGCTTTTACTTAGGTACTCATAAGTGTTTATTACTGGGAAGGAAAAGGCCTTATTGGGCTGTTAACAATGAAGGGTAAATTTAAAGTAAAGATGTTTAAAGCTGATAGCTCTACTTTCACACACTAGTGAAATTTTTACTTGCTTCATGGAATATTTATTGAATGCCAACTATTATCAGTTATTGTCCTAGGCACTAGGTCTACAGGAATGTGGAAGACATAAGTCCCTGCCTCACAGATACGAAAATATCTGCACTGGCGTGCTGTGTTGAGTGATGTGAAGTAAATAGTGATAGAAAGTGTTCTAGTTCAGATAGCATTTGAGCAGAGACCTGAATACAATGAGATGATCAGCCCGTGTGTATTTGGGAGTAGAGTATGCCAAGTAGAGGAGAGCTTGCAAAGGAAGAGCCTAAGCATCAGAAGGCAGTAAAGCTTTAAAAAGAACAGATAGGGAAATAGCATGATCTGGTTTTGTTTAAAAGCTTGCTGTGACTGCTATATGGAAATTGACTGTGAGAGAACAGGAGGCAATGGAGAATGACCAGGTGTGAGCTTATTACATTGGTCCAGGTGAGAGGTATTGGTGATTTGGTCAAAGGTAGTAAGTAGAAATGGTGTAAGTGACTGGTTCTGGATAGATTTTGCAGATGAAACCACAGGATTTGCTGAAGGATTTATTGTGAGCTGTGAAGAAAGGAGAAATGTAATGGAAGAATCATTTGAGTTCTAGGCCTGAGCAACCAGAAAAATTAAAATTACCTACAATAAGATGGGAAAGACTATAGCAGAAGTAGGTTTAAGAAGAAAGTCACAGCATTCTCTTTTAACATGTCAAGTAGGTGGTTGGATATGTGAGTCTGGAACTCAAGTTAGAGCTTGAGGTAGAAATTTGGAAGTTTTCAGCCTACAGGTGATATTTAAAGCAGTTAGTCTGAATTATGAATTTTCTAAATGTATAAATACTAATGTATGTATGTGTATATATATATGTATATAGTCCCATTCAGTCATCATCAAACATCTATAAAGTGTTGGCTATAAGCCAGGCACTGGTGGAAGGTTGTGAGAATACAGTAATGTACTAGTCATTCAAAATAAAAATATATAGCATTTGAAAATTTTTTGGTCTCTAGTAAATGGAACTTCAAGCATTATAGTAGTCATGGATTATATCACCCAGCTTAGTACTAATATGTTACTTGATTCTTTCATATTATTTTAGTCTTCTTAACTAGATCTTTTAAACTCTTTGAATACAGGAGCTATATTACTTTTTTTTTTTAATATCACACACGATGCCTACCACAATTCTGGGAAGATATTAAGTACCCAAAGAATATTTATTCATTGCTTACATGATAATCCTAACTGTTAAGAACAGTAGTATTTTTGTCACTGTGTTATCTTTAGCATGGATTACAGGTGAGTTGTCTAATTAGAATATTAACAGATTCCTGTTCCCTAACTCTTAACTTTTAAAAATTACAATGGATTGCATTTTATTCACTTCTTAGTAGTGTTACATAGTTTTTATTCGCATGTGCTTGTTATTTCAATTTGCAGCCTGATTCTACTGCAACTGAAAGAGCAGTTGCCAGACTAGCAGTGCACCCTCTTCTGAAGAAAAAAATAGATGTGTTAAAAGGTATGAATTAAATGACTTTTAAGCCGTTTATGGTACATGATTTGAATAAACAGCCATTCATTTATTTACTTTTAGGGTGCTTTTCTCCTTTTGAGGATCTTTTATATTATAAATGTCTCTTTCAAATATTTCCAAATGTGGGAAGCTACCTGAAAATATGGAAGTTACCTGATGTCTGAAAAAATTTTGTATTTTTTCTAAATTCCTATTTCCTAAATTTCTAAAATATATATTCATGATAATACTGAATACAATTGATTTTCTAAATATTGGTATAATTCATATTATTACTTATGATGTTGCCACTTAGTCACATAATTTCTATTTATGTATGTACATTTTAAAATGTATTGAAAGGGGCTTCCCTGGTGGCGCAGTGGTTGAGAGTCCACCTGCTGATGCAGGGGACACAGGTTCGTGCCCCGGTCCGGGAGGATCCCACATGCCGCGGAGAGGCCGGGCCCGTGGGCCATGGCCGTTGAACCTGCGCGTCTGGAGCCTGTGCTCCACAACGGGAGAGGCCACAACAGTGAGAGGCCCACGTACCACAAAAAAAGTGTATTAAAAGAATTAAATGTTTCTGTCACAGATTAGAAGATACTTATTTTTAATGTCTGAAAGCACAATTTACGGTATTTACAATTGTATTAATACATTATTATTACAGAAATTAAAGTTGTCATTTTAGTCTGTTTATTTGTATTTAGTGAAGTTTTTACTGTTCTTCTTAACATCCATACATGAAGGAATAAATTTTCTTTTAATTTTAGAGATTTAAAATGGATACCTCTGAGCATTTTGTATATGTTTGGTTTTGTAAAAGTTAATAGATTTCTTTGTAAATTCATACCCATTATATATATGTAATGTAAATTCCAATCATTCTCTTAAGTATTTCCAAATAATTTAAGAAATACTGTACTAAAACAGTAATGTTTTGTATTATTTGTTTCAATGCTGAAACAAGTCATATCCTGTTTCTCTTGCAGCTGCTGTCAAAGCCTTTAAAGATGCAAGACAAAATGTTGTTGAAGTTAAGTCATCAAAGAATGCTTCAGAAGAAAATCATTCCAAGGACACTTTGTGTTCAAATGACGATGCCAGTAAGTTACAGCATGAAGGAACTATTATCAGTGAGCAAGAAGAGAAAGAAGCCAAAATATTGGCAAAGAAACCAATAAATAATTCAAAAGAAAAAATAGCCAAGATGGAGCATGGACCCAAAACAATGGACATTCCAAATTCTCTATCAAAGCCTTCTGAAAAAGATTCTGCAGTACCCTCTGAACCCCAGAAAACACCTACTGACCCCAAAATGAAAACATTTAGTCAAACCAAAAAAGAGAAAGAGTCCAGTAGCTCCCTTGGTGTTAACAGTGATGGAGAAGAATTACATGAAGAAGAGAAGGAATATTTTGATGATAGCACAGAAGAAAGGTTTTACAAACAGTCTTCCATGTCTGAGGATAGTGATAGTGGTGATGACTTCTTCATTGGGAAAGTCAAACGGACACGGAAGAAGGAAAGTAGTTGTCATTTTTCAGTTAAGGAACAAAACCCCCCCAAAAAATTGTTGCCTGAAGAAGATATACTTGAAACCCATCAGGATATGAGAAGTGATAAAAACAAGCCACGTTCAGAAGCAAGGAAGTTTGAATCAGTGTTTTTCCATTCTTTATCTGGCTCTAAAAGCTCTGGAAGGTAAGGGTATTTTTTTATCCTGAAAGAATTATTAGTTCTTAATTTTTCGAAAGATGAAATAACCACACATCCTAACATTGAGATACTATCTCTCATACATAATTCTAGTTTGTACAATACATCCTGTGTTTAGACTTGGCCCTCTCCAACTTTGTATTGGATAATATATACAAATACACGTATGATAATGCTACATTTTTCCAACCTCATCAGAAAATGAGACAATATAGATAAATTTGTCTAATTTAATTGTCTAGCTAATTTAAGTTTATTCCTTTGATTATCAAAGTTTTGAAACTTTGAGTTAGCTTTTGGTGAAAACTTTTGAAAATTTCTCACATATCTCACTTTTTAAACAGAACTTTCTGAAAAGAATGTGTTTTTTTTTGTTGTTGTTGTTGTTTTTTTTCTCTTGTTGACCCAGGGCATTATTGTAAAACTCAATTGTTTTATGTTTTTCTGTTTCAGTAGATAAGGCTGCTTGCCCTAACACTGAGTTTCTCCAGACTGCTTTATATTTGGTGATGCTGTCATCCTTATCCCTTCTGTTAATCACTACTTTTCACAGCTGTTTTGTTATAAATCAATAAGTTTAATTTCATTTGTAATTCTAATCTGATAGGAGATATCTTCACATTATAGAATAAAAATCATGATTAGCTATTTTCTTCAGTAAACTTTTTCTATAATTTATAGGTCAGGCATAATTTTTAGTAGAATAGAAAAATGTGATGTTGAAATTTTCCAGAAAAGTCAGAGTATGGAAAAGATACACAAACCATCTTTGGAGTCTTGATAATTATTACATTATATCATATATCTCCCAACTGTGCCTAAAAAAGCTACAGTTTTTCCCTCACTTGAAAATTAAGCACCACTATCCCTTCCCTCTCCCAAAAAAATGTTAATCTTAGTTATACGTGATTGTTATATGTGACTCATTCCCCCTGTAAGATTTTTGAAATTCTTTGTCTAGATAGTTCTCAAAGGTACAAGGTAACCAAGACAGGATATTTTATGGCCAGAAATCCCTATACAGGTGGTGAGAGGAAAATTCCTACATTTTTCTATAGTAATATTGGGGTCTAACAAACCTTTGATGTAGCTAAAACGTGGGGTTTTCATAATTTTTTAATTCATTTCTGGGGGGGTAAAGGAGTATGATAGTTTTTTTAATGAGTTTTATCAACATTTTTATTATGTTATCTTCTTAAAGTCAGAGGATTTATCTTTTAAATGTCCTAATGGTGCTTTTCTTCTTTTAGAAATTACAGAGAACAGGCTCCAAGAAGCAAAATCCCAGGTATGTATTAATGACTGCCTGACTTCCATATGCAGTTGAGCAATGCTTTGCCAAAGAGGAAAGATGAAAAATTCTCGTTGCTTAGTAGCCTGAATCAGTTATGTACCCACAGAAATGGAAATAGAGCATCTTATAATTATCAGAATAATTTTTAAATTTTAATTATTTTTTTTTACCCTCTATGTCCTGCCAATAGGAAATATGTTAGATAAAAGTTATCAGGAAATATTGGGTCTGTTTAGTTTATCTTGAACTAATCAACATATTCTTTAAGTAAATTACTATGTAAGTTCCATCTTAGTCAACACCATGCCATTAAACATTCAGTAATAAGTATGTTACTTCCAGGGTTAAGAGTGAAACCACATTTTCAGATTAATTTGTAACAAATCAAGTTTAATATACTTGGGTGGTCTGACTTCTCTACATAATCCCAAACTCTCACTGATTTAAAATAATAAAAATTTATTTCTCACATTACAGTCTACTATGAATCAGCACAGGGGCTGTGTTTCACATAGTCATTCAAGGATCAGGATCCTTCCATCTTTTGCCTCCTTTCTACTCCTGTTCCCAGGTATTCTCCATTTGACCAACAAAAGGGAATAGAGTACATGGAGAATTTTGTAAGATGTTTTCATGGGCCAGGCCTGAAAGTGTTAAGGATCAGTTCTGCTCACATTTCATTAGCCAGAATTTAGTTACATGACCCCATCCTAGCCAAAAGGGAGCTAAGAAATGCAGTCTAACTATGCGGCTAGGTGGAAAAAGAAAGTGGAATTTCTTGAACACATAACTGTCTGCTGCTGACCATCCTTTTGATCATCAGATGGTAATTTCACTGGTAATTTTCTCTGGTAATTTCTCAACACACAGAGCACACTATGTGCTTCCTTCCTGAGAAAGCCAACCCAAAGTCCCATCCAGTCATTGTGTCCAATTGAAAGCCTAGAATCCCTGAGTAATGATGCAGTGCTTTCCATCAGATCTCACGATGTGACTGCTCAAAATTTGGTGACCTGTACACTAAAAAGACAGACTGCCTGCCCACAACTCAGACCAGATGTTTAGTGGCAGAGCAGGAACAAGGTAACCACAATAAAAACTCTCAATCAGTTAAGGGAAACATGGGAGGTGTGCAACATGTCTACTACCTGAGCAAAGATTGTGAAGAATCTATGAGGAATTTTCTTATCCACTGTTCTCCGTGGTCTCTGACTGTGTTCTTGGGAGGGTCTTTGTTCCGTGGCCACAGCTGAAGTAGACAGTTAGTATGATCTTCTTGGGAGTTGCCCCAAGTGATTAGTAAAAATATATGATCGTGAAGATGGTTTAAAGTCTTAACAGTCAGGTTTTTTCCAGCCTAGGTTTGTGATTTCTTTCACAATAAAAATTCCCTCCAAAACTTACTGGATTTCTGACCTCTTTATTTCCAGTCAGTCCATCAATGAGCTAGTCACCACACCAAAAATTCTTTCCTAGAGCTATTTTTCAAACTTGCCTTATTTATGTTAGTGGGTCGTTCCCCACCCCCGCCCTCTGCCACTGTCTCAATCATTCAGTGTCTGTTGCATTCAGATTCTCAGGTTTGGTTGAGACGGCCATACCTTTACTCTTATCTCTGCTCCAGAGCTAAATCTCTTTGGACCTTTACTGCTTAAAATCTTTCTCAGTCTTATCTCTTACTGTTAGGAGTCCAAAGGCTTTTCTAAACCTTAAGGTCCCAAATACCTGAACCCTCTCTTCCCTTTTGATTCTGCTTGTGAGCTGGCCGGTTCTTTCCTGAACTTTTCTCTTTTTTTTTGTAATACTTTGCCAAAGAGCCATCAGTACACTAATCTTTTTATTCTTTGCAGCCACTTACCCTTGTGCTGCAATTCCATAGGCATGTAGCCTACTTCCCAAGTTTTCGCTGGCAACAGTTTTATCTTTTCCTTAACATATATATAGGATGCTCACTTCTCAGCCTCAGGTATCCATTTCCTTACTACCCTCCACTGAACTGCAAAGCCCATGCCAAATTTTTATGTTATTTTAATGGCTGTATTAAAATACTAGGTTTGGCAAATACATGGCCTTATATTCACAAATACAGAATAACTAGAAATTTAAGACACTCCCACATTTTCCCGATGAGGAAACCCAAGTAAAACATGTTTTTGTTTTTAGTTTATAAATTTATAATACTTAATTTATCCATTTGTTTGCTCATGCAAATATGCTTTACATAATTATGTAAAATATATATCAGTTTATAAATATTGCCTTATTCAAATTTCAGTTTACATGAAACAGTTTCATTTAACATTTAAATTCATCACTCTTTATCACTAGAGGCATTCTTTATTATAGATTTCTAGAACACATGTGATTTGTACAAGATATGGGACGTTTTGAATCTGTGTGCAGTGATGTTTTGGAAATGTTATCCCAACTGTACACTTGCTTGTATAACATTATGACATTTGCTTTTTTAAGATCTTTAAAAGGCTTCTGACAATGATGGCTAACTTGCAGTGGAGAAATTATACACCCCTAGGACTGATTAATAAATCTGTATTGAATTTTTTGCCTCTCTTTTTCTTTCTGATTCTATAAATATGCATTGATTCAGTCTTTTCAGGCTAGCAAGTCTCCCAGTACTTTGTTCAAAATAATATAATTGAAGTTTCTCATAATAAAAGAGGTTGTAAGGACTAGAATACAAGTTGCCACCCTCATATCTGGTGGATAACTTTATGGTTAAAAAAGAACTTAGTCTTAAATTTAAGCAGATACGGCAGTTTACCTTGCAATCACAACTTTCTGTTCAATAACAAGGGAGTGGAATCAGTTAACAGCCCTTTAAAAAGCTCACCCATCAACACTGTTGGATTCAATATTTTAGTTAAAACATGTGAATTTTCTGGCTGCATTGCTCCACACACAGATGTCATATGATAATGAATCATATTCCTTTAAAAATACAAAATGTCCTTCCTTTTTAAATTTTTTTGCCTTATATGTTGTCTGGACTGTGTTTCTTAATGTCAGTGTAAATAAGACAGCACAGCATATACTAGGAGGCATGCAACAGACATCTATTTACAACAATTAGAAAGCATGTGTCCCAAAACTGACTGCTCATATGTGTATTTCAACTTCAAACTTCCCTGTAGGACTTAGATTTTACACTGTGAGGTATTCCATTTAAGTAAAACTAAATTTCTTCCTTAAACACTGATTTGAGAAGATAAAATGTATTTGTTTTCTATGCTATTTATGTATAGACTTAGTTTTCATTAATTTTGCTTTCTCCTCCAGATTTTCAGCAAATTGAACCTCAGATCAATAATCAGTTTAATAAGAGTGCACGAAGAGGACCTGAAAATACAAAACAGAAATCACAGCTGCCTCTTCATCCTTCATGGGAAGCAAGCCGGAGGCGAAAAGAACAGCAATCCAAAATTGTTGTGTTTCAGGGGAAAAAAATTACCTTTGAGGATTGATTAGTACTGTTTTTTTGTGAACTTCTCTATCGAAAATTTGTTTTTCTTTTTTTAACCTTTTTTTTTTTAACCAGCCCATTATTTAAATATGTATTTGAATAAGTCTCTTTGAATGGGTTATAGAAATGAGTTTGGTTTCGTCTTTTTTTTTTTTAAGTGTGTTCAAGTTATGTTTAAGCTTCCACAAATAAAGTGCATACTTAAATTAATTTTAAATATGTCAAGACTATTCCCTCTATAAAAGAATATTGAGATATTGGCTGTCCCAGATTTTCTCATTTGTGCTAATCATGAAGTATATTTCACTAGTTTAGCTCTGTTTCTTTACTTTTAAAATAATAATGGAAAAATATGAGGAAATTGTAGCTATCTAAAATAGATCATTTTTGCTGAAAATTGCTCTTAGCAAAACTAAGATGGTAACTTCTATTATGGGTATACAGATAATAAGTTATATAAGTAAATATTAACTTTTGTTATAGTTTTAATTATTTGTAATTTTTTAGTTTTTAACTGTTTTAAAACAGGTTCCCAGGAAAATTTTGGATTTCTGAATTATGCTTCACTTAGTTGGACAACATTCATGTTTAAATGTAGCAACACAACCAAAAATGCATTTTGTATTTTACTGCATATAAAATTTCTGTCAAATCAAGAATGTGTAATATCTTGACCATGTGTTCTTATTTTTTTTTCAGGCGGGGCTTTATTGGGGTCCCTGCAGCAGCAGGGGGCAGTGAGAACCAACAACAGGTTCCCTTGCTTGCTCTCTCCCATGTGTTCTTATAGAAACAGTTTTTGAGGAATCATAGATTGGAATTTGTAAGAACAAATTCTGAAGGAGATGTGATTGAAGGAGCATTTGTACTGATAGCTGAGCAGAGGTTATGAGATAACTCACTGAAGAAGGGACTGTTTTATACTTCATAGTACTGTTATTTAAAAGGAAAACAGGATGTTAAAAATCCCTTCAAATGTTTCACTTTTTGCTGCTCTGAGAAATTAAGGTTCTTGGTTAACTAAGTAACACTAACTAAATTCTGTTTTCTATGCATTGGTGCTGTTAATGACAGAAAAAACCCTTCTGGTTAACAGGAATTCAGAAGCTCTGGAAAGTCATTTTTATCTTTTTCAAGAGCTTAAGAATTTAGATAACTAGAGCAATAGAATTCAAGAGATCATAGAGAAAGAAAATTATTTTTGCTGTATTAAATGCAAAATTTGTTTTTTTCTCCTTTTTTAAATTTTTATTTTTACATAATTCCAATTATATCAAATTGAAATTAATTTCAATTGAAATTTTAATTATGAAGAATTACTACAGGAAAAGTTAAAAAATAATGTCTCTATCCCTACCCAGATTTAGCCAAACTGTGAGGTTGAGAGCACTGTCTGTCAGCCCAAGACATCTAACCTCAACTTCAAGGAATTACGGTTTGCCTACAAAGTTAGAAGAAAGAGCCCATACAAGACCACTCTCACTTCTGACACCAGCTGCAGGTTCGGAGATTGCAGGGGAGGGTTCGCCAAATACACTCAGGTTCAAAACTTTGCTTGCAGAACTCACTGAAACCTATTATATTCCCAGTTACAGTTTATTACAGGGAAAGGGTACAGATTATAACCAGCCAAAGGAAGAGGATGCTTAGGGCAAAGTCTATGAGGGTTCTAAAAGCAGAGTTTCTGTTGTCCTCAGGTTGCATTACCATCGTGGCATCAATATGCACAGAGTATTGGCAATCAGAGAAACTCACTTGAGCTTTAGTGTCCTGAATTTTTATTGTGGCTTCGATATGAAGACGTGATCAGTTGATTGCCAGCGTGATTGTTGCAGATGGATTAAGAATACCGAAGTCCCCATCCTAAATTACATGGTAGGTCTTTTTTAGTGCAGCCAGCTCCTGCCCTAAACAAAGACACTCCTATCAGGTATGACATAGAGTGCATCCATGAAGCTGAAGCCAAAGGCACTTTCTCTCTTTGGGCAAGGCCAGGTCCTTCACTACACAATATCCTTCACCCAAATTTCCCAAATATTAACATTTTCCTGTATTTACTTTATCCTTGCCTGTCATCCTCCCTTCTCTCCTCTCCTTTTTTCCTTCCTTTTCCCCTTCCTCTTCTTCCTTTTTTTATCTTTCTCCCTTTCTCTCTTGTCTCTTTTCTTCACTTCATCCCTCTCTACCTACTCTCTACCTTTCACCCTTTTATCATTTCCATCTTTGTTCTCTCTCCCCTTTATATTCTCTCTTTAAAAACAAAGTCATTCTCTATTCTTTTGTATTACCACACTCCAATTATCAAATATTCAGATTTTGCCAATTTCCCAGGGTCTTTTTACAGCAACAGAAAGTGCAGCATCATGCCTTACATACAGTTGTCACATTACATTCACTTGTCATCTCTCTTTGGTTGAGAACAGTACCTCAGTCAGAGGATTTCATGACATTGGCATTTTTCAGAAGTACAGATCTATTTTGCAGTGTCCCTGTATTTGGGTTTGTCTAATATTCCCATTATCAAATTCAAGCTCTGCACTTTTGGCAGGAGTGTTAGAGAAGGAATGTTGTATTTGTCCTAGTGCATCATATCTGGAGTTAGGTGACGACGTTGATATGGCTGGCCCACTACTGGTAGTATTAACTTTGCTTACTTGTTTCAAGTGGTATCTATAAGGTTTCTCCACTGCGAAGTTACTGTTTTTCTGTTTATAATTAATAATTATCTTGTGAGGAGATACTTTGAGACTATGTTTAATTCTGTCCTGAAACTTCCATGCACTAGTTTTAACATTAATTCATAATTCTTACCTGAAACAACTATTGCTATAGTAACTGTAAATGATGATTTTTTTTTATTTCATCTTTTTTCTACACTTTTTAGATGGCTTTTTAGAATAAGGAAGAGTCCTCCATTTTCTCCTGTTTATTGAGTTTTTAAATGTATTTCAGTATTATCTCATGGGGACCTCTTTTTTCTACTTTTCTATTTATTTTTTATTAATAAGGTATTTTTTATTACTTCATTTTATCTATTATTGGTTTATGAGGTTTACTGTAGTATATACATCTTTAATTTATCACAGTGTAACCTCAGGTAGTATTTATACCACTTTACATATGGTCCAAGTACCTTACTACAGTACACTTCAGTTTTTCCCCCCAGCTTTTGTACTATTGTTTATATACTTTTTGCTTCTACATTTAACCGTATAGTACATTGTTTTATTGATTTTGCTGTAATATTCCACTTGTCTTTGTATCATGTCCATGTTTTTCTCTGCTTCCTGGAACATAAACATTCATAGCTGTTTTAATGATCTTGTCTGGAGCAATTCCCAACTTGGGACAGTTTTTACCCACAAGGTATATTTGGCAATGTCTAGAGATATTTTCAGTGTCACAGCTGGGGAGAAGGATGTTGCATCTAGTGGATATAGGCCAGAGATGCTGCTCAATATTCTGCAATATATACAACAAAGAATTATCGTGCCCAGAATTTCAGTAGTACTAAGGTTGTGAAATCTTGGTCTAGGACTCATTTGGCGCCACTACTGAGGCATTACAATTCTAAGAACTCTGCCTAATTCTTTGTTAGGAAATTTTTCTATTGTGTCTGGTGAGAACACAAACTGTACCTGGACCTGTGTTAGCTCCTAGGATGTTTCCACTAACTCTTTTCTAGTGACTTTTTCCCTCTGGCCTTGTTAGATTCTTTATATACATTGCACAGATCAGTATAATACGGTTGACTTGAGGGGACCATTGTACAGAGCACTTTTACCTCTTCTGTGCATCTCCTTCTCTATTTTTTTTTTTTTTTGGTGGTACGTGGGCCTCTCACTGCCGTGGCCTCTCCCGTTGCAGAACACAGGCTCCAGACGCGCAGGCTCAGCGGCCATGGCTTACGGGCCCAGCCGCTCTGCGGCATGTGGGATCTTCCCGGACCAGGGCACGAACCCGCGTCCCCTGCATTGGCAGGCGTACTCTCAACCACTGCGCCACCATGGAAGCCCTCCCCTCTATTGTTTTACCTCACAAATTCTAGTCACATTAACCTATCTAAACTTTGAACTGTCTCTTCAGAAAGGCCATTGGGCTATTTTGGATTTCCTTCCCCCTGCACTGTAATTTGGAAACTCCTCAAACAGTGAACTGGTGTACTTACAGCACTCAACTCATTTGAGTTCTTTCTCTCAGGTATTAATATCCTGTACTGCTTTTTGTCCATTGTCTGAAACCTTTGTTTCATCCACTTTGTCCAGTTTTCTAGTTGTTTAATATAGAAGAACAAATCTAATCCCTATTATCTTATAGTGGTGGGAAATACAAGTTCTTTATTTTCATGCTCAAATTATCCTTAATTTGGTTAGTGGAACCCCCCTCAAGCTGTCTCCTCTGTCCTTTTGGCATGTAAATCCTTTCTATAATAGTGAGGAAGGTGGTTTCTTACTTTCCACAATATATTTACTTATTTTCTCAACCCCAGAGTAGGCAGAAGTTAACTTCAGAGTTGCTGACTGATGCCTTTGCAAACTACAAGTCTACTAACCAAACTTTAATTTATGTTTAGAGTTCTTTTTTCTTTAGCCTGAGGGCATATGGTCTCAAAACTAAGTTTGCAAGTTACCTGGGATAATGTCAGCAAAAATGGGTGAGTAAGAACATCCAGAAATTCTTTTTCTCCATTAAAAACAATGAGAAAACTGTCCATATTGTCAGAATCAGTGTTTTCAGAACTGTGGAATTAACCAAAAGTTTACAGCAATCCAGGGAATGTTATTTATTAAAAATGGCTGACTCTTGGTAAGAACAGTATCTTTGTGACATGCTAACTTGTCCTATTTTCATCCCCCACTCCCCAAATCCATGGTGTCTTGAAAATCAACAACCCACAGTAATGATGAAAACCTGCAGCCTGGCAGACACTGGAGGGGCCAGAACAGGGTTGGAGCTTATTCAAAGACACATTCCCCGAGAATTATCACTATTTGGCCAGTATGGTAGTTCACTGGAAGACCCCATGGCAATTCTGTCTTTATCTAACTTGACTAAGAGCTTTCCCAGTGTGAAAAGCGTTTTTCCTCAGATCACTTTTTGAAATCAATTAGAGGCAATTGTTAACATCACAGCTGCCTGAGGCAGTGAATAACAGTTGGGGAAAACAAGAAGTTAATCAAATTAAAATGAAATCTGGAAAATTCAGTATCTTTAGGGAATTTGATAAGTTTTGACAAATTTCCTGGAATTAGGGAAA